ACTTCCTGCTATTTAAACGGGAGTTATTACGGCTTTGTGAGTCACGGAGTCTGGGCGATCCCTAAAACGGGCGGTATCATTTACTTCAGTATCCGACTCCGCGCCCCACTGACGCTGTCCTTGCATTATCAGTGTCACTCCGTCGGTCCTTCCTCCACATCATACGGATGCCACATCCTATCGGTCGGAAACCGTGCAGCGCGCGGCAACACTTCACGAACACAGGCCGCATGGACAACAAAACGCAAACGTTTCTGAAATGTATGCACTGCACGCGTGCATTTGAATCGGGCAATCCGAACGCTGGCGAGCCCGCCGACATCCGTACGGAAGAGAACGCGATGGAAGCGCACCTCCGCAAATGCATGTTTGCACCATTGCGCGATACAGCGCCATCATACAGCCAGAGTTGTGCGATGCGATCTGGTAGCAGCGGGTCGCCGCATCTCAGTCCGACACACTCACAGTCATCAATGAAACGTTCTCGCCAACAATCCATGCGCGGTACATCGCGCCGCCCATCATCAACGACCAGAAAGACCAGTTTCAACGCTTGATCCTGGAGTTCATGGCGGAGAATAGCCTGCCGGCCTCCTTCGTCGAAACCCGGAAGTTCAAGCGTCAGGTCGATTTCTGCACGGCGACGCCTGGGCGCATCGTCGATGCAACCGTGCTCCATGTGGTCGGTCATGTGTAAGCGGAGCAGGACGACGACCTCGACGTCCACGAACCGATGGATTCCGACGCGGATGTCGTCGAGCCCGAAGAACGCGGAGATCATATTCTCTTCGAGTGTAGCCAGATTCTCAGCAGTGGCAGCGGAGCCAATCAGTTGGATGATGACAGTCAAGTGGAGGAGATCCTCGATCATGGCCAAATTCGCCCTTCGTGGCCGAAGGAGAACGTTCCCAACTGGCCGCAGGAGCCTACGGCTGCGAAGCTCAAGGGCCTCCGAGGCATCTAGGTAGAACTGGTAGACCTCTTCGAGGGCGTCTGCCTGCACGACTCATTCTGAGTCAGAATCACTAAACAGCGCTGAGTGCCGAAACATTAGCAGGTGTGAACCGTCGCGATCACCTTATGACTGCAAAATGACTCTGGCAAGTAGGCGCCTTGAAAATATCGATCTGGTCAACCTTGACGCCACGAAGGGCCGTCAGCTTCGTGGCTGATGACTCCTGCGTACACCTGGCCTAGAGCCCTTGATAACGTCCGGACAATATGTGGTCGGCGGGCCGGGCCTTGCGGCATTTTTTGCAACTTTTCGCTATATAAAAATGGGTATTTCTCAAGATCGTCCACCGAGTGGAAATATTTCTCACGATCGTCCAAGTTGACTGATCGTGTTGTATTTTTATTCCAAATCGTCCACCGCGGCATGATTGGTTAAAATCATCAT